CAGCCCTGCTGCAGAGCTTTGCCAGCTGAGAGCTGCAGGCAGGTGTGGGACTGTCTGCCACATCTTGCTTCCTTGTCTACATTTATTTATTCTCCTCCCCCCCCCCTTCCCCCATTATTTATTGCAGTAGTTGAAAAGCATTGGTATAATTTTTGTGTCCCTATAAAAATAGTGCTGGAAGTTTCCAGCACATTCTGTTCTCTCCCTTTGCTCCACCTGCCCAGCTGCTGCTTTTCCTTAGCTCTCAAATAACATCTGAATCGCAGTGCCTTGTCTGCAGCCCAGCACTGGGATCTCGCAGAGGAGAATCCCCAAGAAGTAACTCATGAGCAAGAGACTGAGATAAAACACACAGAAAACAGAGCCCTTAAGCTTCTGCAACAGGAAAAAAAAAAAAGCACAGACTTCAAAAGCATTGTAAAATGCTTGCTCTGTAAAATGTTCTGCTTCTCTGTCCTTTTCTGCTTTACCAAGAGTCAGGCCTGCAGGTAGGAAAGATCCCTGGGTTTATAAGGAGAAAGCAGATATTCAACAGCACCATTATTCTTCATAGCCCATATTGTCCATATTGTCACATATTCATGGCTCGTTAGGCTCTCCTGCCTTTGCTGTGCTGCATACCCTGGTGGTCTGTCATGCCATGGAGACAGTGAAAACCTGACCTTGCTAATCCATAGGGATGGCTCTTTGACCCCAGCAAATAGAGAACCTCTGTTACCTACCTACAGCACCAAACTTGCAGTTTTTCATTCAGCAAAGAACACAGTAGTTTGTCTATTAAAATACTCTGGGACATGCTTATGGTACATTTCTTTAAAAAGCTGTATTTTTTTACAACTGTTTAAAAATACTCTGCTCTGAGGTTTTAGTCATTGATGGTTTAAAATTCATCCTTCCAATGCATACTTAATCTTAGATTATTTTGTAGCAAAACTGACAACGCTGTATATTTTTTAACCACACATGAAGTGTCAGATCCTCCCAGAAGGAAGCATCAAAATCTACAGAGAAGTGAGGAAGTTCTGTGCGCCCGTAATGCAGGTTTCCAAAATCATAGGAAAGTAAATGCACAATTTATCAGTGCCTGTGAGAGCTGAGCAACCCTGCACCTGAGATTTGGTTTCCATTTCCCTCTCCCTGATTAGAAAGCAGAGAACACAACACCAAGAATACCTGCAGGGATAGTATACCCAAGTGCAAGTGGAAATAATTTCTGTGTCTTGAATAATTCGGAGCTTTATTAAAATATATATAGAAAAAGGAAATACTTGATTGCAAAACAAACAACAAAATAATTTAAAAAAACCCTAAACAAAACAATGAGCCCACAAGCACCTAATGTTCAAATGTAAGAATCTGAACCTGTGTAAGGTTGTCTTTTTCCAAAAAAAGTGAGGCACCTGTGTAAGCAAGCTGAGTCTTGCAACTTACACTGCTTCTAAATCCAGCATAAAGCAGGGAGCAAACAATGTCAAATGTCAGCTTGCTTTCACCTGAGGAAAGAAAGGATCATAAAGCACAGGATAGGGCCGGTGAATCTCAGTTTTGATGTGTAGTCCCACATGAAGATTGCATTGCTCATAAACACTGGGATGTGGTAAGTTGCTTTGAGGTAAAAAGAGACTTTTTTATGCACTTGGTGTGCCTTGGCTTTGCTGGGTGTGTTATTGAATTTTATAGGACAAGCTACTCTTAGAGGTTCCTTTTTTTTTAACAACGTGGTTCTGCACTGTTAATTCTAGGAGTCATAACTTCAGATTTCATCTGGGCTGGTCATAGTTCCAAAGAGGGGTGCTGTGTTGTGGGACTGTTTTCCAGCAAGGAGACAACAGCTTATAAAGGGGGAATTGCAGGCTGATAGTTTAATATCCCCCCAACAGAAGCTTTATAGATTGAGTATTGCACCAGAGGGGTCTGTGATGTTTGAAGCCATCACTGGGTCATATTACACATCGATCTCTTTCAATGGAAGTCACCTTGGCCTTCACTTTCTCACATGCTGGTGTTGTACCCTATGACTGCTTGATTTCAGAAACGAGCCTACAAAAGCTACGTGCGGGCCCTGCCCATGCTGAAGAAGATGGGAGTCAGCTCCATCCTCCTCCGCAAGACCATCGGCGCCCTGGAAGTGGCGTGTGGCATTGTCATGACACTGGTGCCTGGTCGCTCCAAAGACGTGGCCAACTTTCTCCTGCTCCTCCTCGTGCTGGCTGTGCTCTTCTTCCACCAGCTCGTGGGGGACCCCCTCAAGCGCTACGCCCACGCCCTGGTGTTTGGGATCCTGCTCACCTGCCGCCTGCTCATCGCCCGCCAGCCCGAGGAGCTGCCGCCCGAGAAGAGGATGCTGTCGGTGAACGGGGATGAGCAGCCACTCATCCATGAAGCAGCTCCCGAGAAAGGCAAGATGAAGGTATCCTAGCTGAGTGCATGTGAGAAACACGGACCCTCGAGGCAGCTCTCTCCAAAATCACCGGGAAAAATTTGGTTTTTATTTTAAACCTATTTTCTTTTTTCTTTTTTTTTTTTTTTTTTTTTTTTTTTGTCTGTCTAAATAAAGTTGCGCTTGGGGTCTGAGAGATACAAGGTATGTCTACACCGTAGTCTTGCTTTTGCTGCTGCCCTGTAATGTAGAAAAACACAAGCCAGATTTCCCAGGGACAGCTTGGAGGCAGTCAGCAACCTGGCTGGAGCAGTGCCGGCCACAGCAGGAGCTGCAAAACCAGCCTGAGACCCTGAGCAGAGATTTGGTCAGGCAGTCAGGCTGCCCTGGCACTGCTGCAGTGGGGAGATTAGGCCCTGAGATCAGCCCTGAGCCCCAGACCTGGCCTGGATGCTGCTGCCTGGCAGTCTGGAACAGCAGCTGGGCAGGACATCACCAGTGTCCCTGTGCTGGCCTGTGCAGCCCCACCCACACACCTGCATTTCCCTTTCCATAGTCAAGGGGTAAAAGGGACCCTGCTGACCATAAAAGTGCAGTTGGTTGCATTGGAGAGAGGGATCCCTTTGCTTTTGCTGCCTCTGTACCCAGTCTTTTCTTTGGACTGGTTATCCAAGGAAAACATGAGATGGTCTGTTTGCATCTTCCTTGATTTCCATGTAGAGGCTCTAAAATTGGGACAATGGCCTGATAACAGTAATATTTTTCCTGCTTCACATAAGGCAATGGCATCTCTTTATCCTTTTTGGCAGACAGTAATGATCCCTGGAGAGGGGATGGGAAGCAGAACTGCCCAAAGAACTCCAAAATATCTGTCCAATGTCGGCAAATAGCATCGTGCTCCCCATTTCCTTGCAAGAAAAAACCTTTTTTCCACAGCTACTGTGACTTTATAGAATTGTTGTTTACTGCTGGTAGATGAGGGTCTGAACAATTCCAGGTACCTCATTGCTCATCCCACATACAGCCTCGGTGAGCTGGGAGAACTCCTGTTACCAGAGCCTGAATCCCTGTGTTGTATCTGAAATCTCAGAGTGTCATAAGGAGCATGTGTTACCTCTGAATTTGTCTGGTTTTCTTAATGTTTGTCTGTTTTCAGTTTTTCCTTATTTTTTTTTAATTATTCATGAAAATAAACTTTTTGAAATTTGGAGAAAAATGTCTTTACAGAAACAAATTTCTTTTTTTGAGAGACAGGTCTGAAAACACCTCCCTGTGGTCAAACACTGCACCTAAAATGGGCAGAATCATTTCAGGCAACTTGAGAGAAAGACAAGGCGATGCCTTGTTGAAGGCACTGAACACTATTTGGCTACATGTTAATAACAGCAGATACTTAAAGGAGACATTTGGATATTTTAATGAAACAGTCTCAGATAAAGTTTGCTACAGTGCAATGTGGCCGAGTAAAGGTAACTCCAGTAAACTGTTACCTTGTATCTGTATAAAAATTGACGAGGGATGTTCACATGCAGTTCTCCTCTTGAGTTTGCTGCTGAAGCAGATGCAGCCCCATATATATACATATTACATATATACATACATGAAAAAGCCTTCTCTGAGCCCCGGAGGGACTAAATTCCTCTTATCAGATGTGCACCCTGAGCAAAGAAACCAAGAGACAATCTCATCCTCACAGACTACCTCAAGGTCATCCAAATAGATACAGAACTTGCTTTACTCCTCCAAAGACACTTTATCTGCCATGCCCTGACTGGGGTTGTTAATCACATTTTAACTCAAAACCAACTCAAAACCACCCCATGATGTGTATTTCCTACACAAATTCCTCACAGTTGAGCTGCTGCAGCTCTTTCTCCAGACACCTCTCACTGAGCATCCAGCTCAGCAAACCTTTGAGAGCAAGTGTTGTGTTTATATTTTGTGACATTCCTCACCGAAGCCTGTACAGACACCCCAATAATACATCACCCCATGGAGCAAAGCCTACTAAAATACGTCCCCTCTTTTCACATTTGCAGCGAAATGAGCGACTGACCCGCAGTGGTGGCTGCATTTTCTTTATTACAGAGGGAGCCGGGACTCTCCCTGCAGCCCAGCAGCAGGAATTCTGTATTTCTCTGTGGCGGCCTGACCTCCATCACTGCCCCCCAGCAGGAACAAGCTATTTTTGGACGCTGCCAGCCATCTGTGCTCGATAAGAACTGCTCCACTCCTTTTGTAAGACCTCGATGCTAATTTACTCTTTTTTTTTTTTTTTCCTCTTTTTTTTTTTTTTCCCCATGTTTTTATCTCCGAGTCCATAATTTCATTTCCCGACCAGCCTCATCCAGGCGTCACCGCTTAGAGCCTCGGGGTTACTGGATCACCTCCGCGCTCGCTTTATATGTGCCTTTCCCCCCCCCAGATCCTTTTTAAGATGTAGATTTAGGGCTGAACTTTGCACCCCCACGGAGGAGGGGACACCCCAGGCCGGGCCGCCCTTCAGGGCCCCCTCCCGCCGGGCACGGACCGCGCATGCTCAGAACCGCCGGGGGAGGGGGGGGCAGGAAGGGCGGAAGCGCCGCCGTCATTCCCGCCCAATGCGCATGTGCAAAAGGCGGGGCGGTGGCGGGCGCTGCGCACGCGCGGTGCGGCGGCCGCCAGGTTTGAACTGCGGGACGGTTGGAGAGGCGGGAGGAGCGTGAGGGGGGTCAGTGCCGGGGGGGGACAATGCCCGGGGCACCGGAGGGGCAGTGCCGGAGCGAGGGGCAGTGCCCAGGGCAGCGGGAGGGGCCGTGGCCGGGACTGGGTCAGGCCGGGCTGGGCTCCCTCCTTCCCCTGGGAGGATGCTCCGGGAGGCCCGAGAGTCCTGGGAGAGTCGCGGTGGTGGCTGAGGGAGGGGCGGTGGTGCAGCTGGGGAGGAGGGTGAGGGGTATTTTCCAACTCTAGCGGCTCGGTAGAAAGGCTGCAGAAGAATCCAGTGTTTGTGAAATAGAACGATGAGTGTTGTTTTGATCCTTTAGAATCTGTACGCAGCCCTGCAGGGGATCATGGCTTGTTGACTGGTGACACTGACATGCGCAATACAAGTAAGGAAAATAAAAATGCACAAAATAAACTGAGGAGAAAACTGTTGGTTGTGTTATTCCATCTTTCTGGTTATGTTAATTTTTTGGCTCACAGTGCTATCTAAAATTTTATCAGGTCATTTTTAAACTGAAAGGAGCTTGTGTTAATTTTTTGCCTTGTGAATTTTTTTCTTTCTTTTTCTAATGTAAAAAAGAATAAAGTTTTGATACACTGTTGTCTGTGCATCTTCTGAGTATATTGTCTGAACTGTTGGGGGCCAGTCAGCTCTAAATTATTTCTGCTGCATTCAATCTAGTGTTATGCAGGATGCCTCTAAAATCTGTTTGTCAGGAAAATAAATGTTTCTTTTCTTGCAGGGAACCAGCTGTCTGATGTTCTTCAGCTGTTGGAGGTTGATCTCTTTGCTTGCCTGGTGAAGGACTGGATCTCGTGACAAATGAGGAAAATTTTCCAGTCTCAGCTGGGAGACTGAAAAGATGAGGCACAGTTCTAGGACCCCAAAGCGGCCTCTGGGGGTTGACCATAAAAGCCAAACTGATCTCTCTGCGTGGCGAAAAAAGGGGAGAACTGACCTTGAAAAAAGTTCCCAGAATCATCAGTCTCCTGGAGGTCAGAAAAATGACATCAGTCAGAAAAATGATGTCAGTGGGAAAAACGACAGCCAGGAAGTCTCCCTGGAGAAAGCTTTGACCTACTTTGAGAAAGGTAAGAGCACTTTTAAGGTTGGCTTTCTAAGACTGAAAACATAATAATTATATTCTTAATAAAAAGAATGATAATAATATAAAAATAATCTATTTTACGTCTGGTTTTCCTCTTCAATGCCTGAGCTATGTAATATTTTTTTAATGTATTAAAAGCTTTCTGTTACTACTGTGTAAAAAAAAAAAAAGGAATATCATAGAATCATGGAATGGTTTGGGTTGGAAGGGACCAAACTCCTGCCATGGGCAGGGACATCTTCCACTATCCCAGGTTGCTCCAAGCCCTGTCCAACCCGGCCTTGGACACTTCCATGGATAGATCATCCACAACTTCTCTGGGAAACATGTACCAGGGCCTCATCACCCTCATAGTGAACAATTGTTTCCTAAGACCTAATCTAAGTCTACTTTCTGTCACTTTGTATCTGTTCCCCCTTGTCCTGTCACTACATGCCCTTGTAAAAAGTCCCTCTCCACCTTTCGTAATAAAAATAATAATTTTAAAATAATCTAATTTTACTTCCGTATTCCCTCTTTAATCCCTGAGCTATGTAAATGTTTCTTTAATGTCTTGAAAGTTCTTCCCCTTTTTGTTACTGTGTAAAGAAAAAGGAGTATTCGTAGGGGCAGTTCAGAGAAGCTTAAAGTTCATTTTCAGTTGGGAAGTTGTTACATCCCGAGTTTGTCCCATTTGTTTTTCCTAGTTCAAGGCCGTGTTTCCCTGAGGATCAACAGTGCTCTGCAGAAACACTTGGCTGCTGTGGAAAGCATTGCCCTGCAACAAGGGCTGCCCCCTGAAGGTTTTGAGATACTGTTGAACGTGGTGCTCAGTGGCAAATTTGGTAAAACCTTTGTGTACTGCTGGTGTGTCTTCTGTGAATGTCTCCTTCCCCTCCAATCAAACCTGCTTGAGACAATGTGTTTGTGGTGGCTGTATTGTTGGGTACTGTAGTGTAAAATTAATTTTTCTGGCATGCCTTGGTGTAAAAAAACTACCCTCAGTTCTTGCTCCAGGAGGGTGGTGTCCAGTTAAATATTATGGCTTGTTACAGATTTTGTTTTAAATTTTTTTTCCTTTGTTCATAGTTGCAGGTTTCTGAAAGGCTTGAATTGTGCCCTCACCAAGCATTGTGTTTGTTCTTTGCTGTAATTGTTTGTGTAGGTTTCGTTTCCCCAAGATCAAAATAATTAAACAAACTGACAAAGTTGTGTTAGTGAAAGTTGCTAAAATTAAGTTGTCATCCCCACAGTCAATTCAACAGTCAGTGCAGCCCTCCTGCTGCTTTCTTAGAAACGTTATTCACCATTTATACTTCTAAATAATGAAATATTCATTGGAAAAAACCCTAAACTTCTACCTCCCTCCAGCACAAGGGGAGCACACAGAATTCTTTCCCCATTATACAAGTAGTTTAGTGCTTTTCTTCATTTGAAATGATCAGCTCATCTCCAGATCTGCTGATCCTTACCTGACAGTCCCATACCCTTTTGCTAAAGGCATTGGTTGTTTAATGTTAACAGAATCTGTGTTACTTTTGGTTGTCTTGCCAGGAGCCTGAAGACTATTTCAATACTAAAATACTCGATATTTTATGGTTTGTTTTTTTTTTTGTTAAGCTGGGAGAAATATTTCTCATAATTTTTTGAGGTATTGGTAAATCCTTCCTAGATTCTTGTACACTGTTACTTTGAGCAATGAAGCTCTGAATAATTTTGTCCAAGGGGAATTTTGACCTAAGCTGCAAAACCACATCCAAGAACCTGGTACAGGAGCACCATCTTACTCGAAATTGTTTGTTTTTCAGCTGACACAGTGAATACTCGTTTATTGAAGAGCCTGATCCCAACCTCAGTAATACCAGAAAATTCTGTGGTTACAGCTGTGTCTTGGCTCTGTACCAACAGATCCTCAGGCAGCATCCAGGTAACTTAGTAAGTGCTGACAATAGTTATTGCTTCTGCACAGGAATGATAAGACCAGGTTATTTTCAGGGAGCAAAAATCCTAGGGTTTAATGTACATGGTCTTACACAAGATACTGTCCTTTACCAAGATGGCAGGGACACTCATTGCTGGAACAGCAGTGGGAACCAAGAAACATTTTATAAGTGTGAGTGGAAAGTTCCTGCTTGGCTTGAATCTATGAAGTCCTCAGGAATGGTTTCTCCACCACCATTTCTGTGAAGTACTTGTGCTGTGTGAGGCACTCTTCAACTTCAGCAAGGTATCCCTTAGGTTATGTGTACCTTGGTCATGACAACGTGGCTTAACGTTAGCAACAGTTTGTTTTGGTGTTCACATAGTCTGCTCAAAGGTTTACATCATAGAACTGCAGAATTTATTTCCATTGTAAAATCATTGAGAGTAGAAAAGATTTTTAAGACCAAGTCCACCATGAAACCGTGGTCCTAAGTGCCACGCCTGAACATCTTTTAAATACCTCCAGGGATGGTGGTTCAACCACTTCCTTTGGTATCCTGTGCCAGTGCTTGGTGACTCTTTTGGTGCAGAAGTTTTTCCTAATACCCAGTCTAAGCCTCCCCTGGCACATCTTGATGCTGTTTCTTCTTGTCCTATCACTTGTTGCTTGGGAGAAGAGAGAAGAGACTGACTCCTACCTCACTTCAGCCTCCTTCCAGGGAGTTGTAGAGTGCAATAAGGTCATCCCTGAGCTCCCTTTTCTCCAGGCTGAGCTCCCCCAGTTCCCTCAGCTGCTCCTCTTAAGATTTGTACTCCAGACCCTTCCCCAGCTTTGTTGCTCTGCTTTGGATGCCTTCCAGCACCTCAATCCACTCCTTGGTGAGGGGACAACACATATTGAGAAGTGTTTGTTTCCCATACTTCATGCACTGGTGTACAGGCACTTCAGCAAGGTGTTGGAGTGTGCCTGTTTCCCAGGAGGGCTGCAAGAGGACACCCTTGGCAGGCTTTCTTCCACAGCTGAATTATCTCTGAGCTGTTGTTCTTCTGTAACTCCCTGGTTGTCCTTGTGAGTGATTTGTATCCTTACTGATTGTGTCTCTGGAGTTGGCTACTGACTGCTCTTCTTTGCTTTTGCCCATCACTTAATGTAATAATGGCTTTTTTTCCTGTCTGCAGTTGCTTTTTTTAAGGTGGCTGATCACAGTGTTTGACTTCATTGATCACAAGGAACGAATTAATGCCCTCTATGGTTTCTTCTTCTCCTTCCTGCAAGATGAGAAGCTGGTAAGGAGAACTGAAGAACATATGGAATTGACAAAATAAAACCAAGTGTTCGTTAGTGTATTAATGCTGGAATTAGTCTGGTTGGTTAGAGAGAATTTTCTGATGACTAGAATTTCACTTTTTTTAAAATTTTTTTCATTTTACATTTTAAGGTTGCTGGGTAACTTAGATCCCTAAACAGGGAAGTACTGTAGGATTGCTGTGGTTAGGCTGTTTAAACATGTTTCCAAGAATTGCTATTCTGTGTCACACAGAGGTTGGGGATATATTCTGTCTAAATTCCCAAGATTAACTATGGTGCTGCAGTCTGTGGGATTGTCAGACAACAGCAGGTAAAGTCTCCTGCTCCTGGGAAAAAACTGGCTTGTATACCTTGGGCAAAAAGAAAAAACAAAACCACTTTTAGAGCAGTGTTTATTTAAGGGTGCTGTTCTATTTAATTGAGTTGAAGTGTAGCTTAAATGAGAACAAGCATTCAGGAAATTAATTTCTGCTATATGACAACTGTAAAATCCAGGTACTGGAATTTTGAAATGTTTGGATTCAGTGCATATTGACATGATCTTGGCACTCATGTTAGATATGAAATTGTTAATATTCTTTCAGTTTAGGATATTTTGTGGTTAAGTTCCCCAAATTCTGAATTACATGGTTTGTAAAGTTGTCCATGGTTTTAGGTTAACTTTAGTTATAATCTTTTCATAAAACTGGATTCAAGTTAAAAATAGCATTTTGAGGCATGATGGGTCAGTTGGGAAGTGCACCAAGAGTTGGTGTGAAAGTAATTTAAAGCTCTTTTACAGCCTCAGCTGTAAATAGAAGCTCTAAAACAGTACATTGGTTCAAAAGTGCCTTTCTTTTTGAAAATGTAATTGTACTTTGACTCTTGAAATTTCTAGACCATCTTCCAAAGGACACCATCCAAGCTTATTGAATAGCTTGGTTACTGTCAGATAAAGTTTCTAAATGAAAGGGACATAAGAGACTGTAAAAACCAGGCTGCTTCCTAAGGGAAGTGAGGTGTGTTCTGCCCTGGGGGGGGCTGCAGGGATGGCTTGAGGCAGGCAGTGGAGTGACACAGCAGTGTCCTGTGAAGCCTGTGTGATTTCTGTGTGTCCCCCAGCAGCAGGAGGTTTCACTGCTGCCTTTGCTTTGCAGTGCCCCTACATCTGCCACATGCTCTACCTGCTGACCAGGAAAGAAAATGGTGAGTCTCTCAGCTGTAAGAGCTGGAATTCCATTTTGTTTCTGATTCTGTTTGCTGGTGCTGCCTTTTCTTCCAATGCAGCCACTGCACTGATAAGCCAATATAGTGCTTTTAAGGCAAGGGAGCACGAGTGATAATTCAGACAAAAATTTGTGTAACACTTTCTGAACTGGAAACCTGTCTGTTAGCCTAGAAATGAGAGTGATTGGTTCTGTTTGCTTTGTCATGACTTCATGATAAAAGTGATACTGCATTTTTGCTCAGATGTCTGATACAGTGTTTTCTAAATCCTTTATATTATTGATTGTATTTCCAGTCAAGCCTTTTCGGGTTAGGAGACTGCTTGACCTCCAAGCAAAAGTGGTGAGTTTATTTCAATTCTTGTAGAGTTTGAGCTGTGGTTAATAATGCACTTTGTAAGACTAATGTCCTTACAGGATGGAGAAGAGTGACTGGACTTGGAATTGTAGGTTGTAGTCTTTGTAACATCAAAGCTTGTATCTCTTGCATGTGCATCCCCAGTTTTCACGTGTGTTTTCTGAGCTCTTGCAATGATATGCACAAAGGTCTTTGTTTTAGAAGCAGGTGTGGTGAAATCTCTGAAGCAAAGGGCAGCTTTATTTATCTATTGCAGTCCTTAGTTTTGTATTCATCTTCCTTTTGCAAGTGGTATCAAAAATGACTGAAAAATATAAGATTGTAGAGGGTCTTGCTCTTTTTTTGTAAGAAAAAACTTGCTATAACATGTTTTATAAACAGCAGAAAGACTATTTTTCATAGTTTTGATTGCTAATTTACTTTTTTTTTTTTTAGTTATGCTCTTTCTTCAATCCCCTTCCTATGGTGTTTCATTGACACAGTTTCTGTTCTTTCATTTTCAGTTATTCATCTATGGTTACTTACTGATATGTAGCTCTAGAAATTTAGCTTTTACTCCTCACTGGGTTTTTTTGCTTCTAAAATACAGTATTCAGTTTCTGTATAAAAAACATACCCCACATTTTCCCTCTTGTTCTGCTATTTGACAGGGAATGCACCCTCCCCTGCAGGCTCTACTGTCACTTTACAAAGTCTTCTGTCCAGAGCTGGTGACCATAACTCTTCCCACAAAAACAAAGGTAAGGAATTAGATTTAGTCTATTTGGAACCAGTACTTATGATAGTGTTTGTACTGAGCTTTGCATTTAAGCTAGAGCACGATTCAGTGGTGAAGATTAATTCTATTTCCTCTTCACTGAGTAAAATTAGTATAATGTATACTTGAGATTTAATCTATGATTGATGATTGATTTGAATGGAGATTATAAGACAGAAATGTTTTATCCCTTTTGAAAAAGAACATAATTTCAGAAGGAAATAAAAGCCCACTACAGTTGAACTGTAGTCAAAATGTGATGAAACTGAGGAGTGATAAGAATTCTGTGCTGTGAAAATCTGTCAAGCAGATTGTCTCTATATCACTGTGATGCTGTTTATCAGAATAGAAACTGATCTTTCTGTTGCTTTGTCTTAGTTTGGCTTCTTGCACAGATGTCTGATTTCTGTTTCCAGACTTACTTCAAGAGTTCAGAGGGCCCATGGAAAGCAGCAATGAGTGCAGTAAGGCAAAGAAACCAGGGAAGGACTCCCCTGACCCAGGCAGTGTTTTTAGGCACAGCTCAACCTCAGTCACGAAAGAGGGTATGTTTTGGGCCTAAGGTAGGCCCTAGAAGGTGCCAAGCAGCATTTTTCATTATGAATATTGGTAAACAATGGGAGTGTGGCTTTATTTCAGCACTGGGAAGGGTGGAGTACCTACACAGAAATGCAGCATTCCCACTATAATGAAAGCCTGGATAAGTTTTTCATAAAACAGGGTCTTTCTGGGAACACTGTTCATGAGTGCACTCAATTGCATTGGAAGCAGAGTCATTGCTATGCATTTTCTACAGAAATGGAATGCTCAGTTGGTTCTACCTGCAAGCAGTGCAAGGAATTCAGGAGTGGGCACAGAAAAGTACTGTGGTTTGTTCAGTACAGAAGAGACTTTTCCAATGGAGCAGCTGCAGACCTTTCCTCAGCTCCTACAAAATATCCACCGTCTAGAGGTGAGCTTCAAGAAGGTCTTGAAAAGCTGAATGAATGTTTTGAGAGGTCAAAGGATATTCCTTCATTCCTTGTTTATGTGTGAATAATGTGTGGGCTACCTGGTTCTAACACAGCATCTGACCCAGCTGAGGGTGATGAGTTCTGGAGATGGTCTTGTTGCTGGTAAAAGGATTGGATAGTTCTGATAGAAGGAGATTCTCTGGCAGTTTGCTGATGTAAGCACTGAATAATTCTTTTCTTTTCTTTGATTCCTCTTGCAGTTTCCTTCCCAGATGGGTTCAGTGCTAGCAAACCCTTTATTACTTCACTACATGAATTGTGTCAGAGATGAATCTATTTACCTGAGGCTCTACTATTGGATGGGTCAGATGCTCCAGGAAGGTAGGAAACTCAGTATTATCTTGCCATGCTAGGGAGGTAAAGGATGTCTGAGGGCTCTCATTTTTCAGTAATGGTACTTTGCTATTCAGATTTGTAGTGACAATCATATGATGTTAAAGCAAATACTGGAAGAGAACTGAAATTGGTTTCTCTTTGTGTTTTTTCTTGTATTCCAATACAATATTCTCTCCTGTTTAGAATGTACCTGGTGTGTGGTTGATAACACAAATGAAACAGAATTCAAGAGCTTCCTGGAAACTATGTACAAGGCAGAATGTTTTTTGCAGGTAAGTGCATGTTTTGTGGAAGCCAAGGGTTTCACAAAGCCTTCCCTTAAAGAACCTCTGGGACTTACCAGTTCCCTGTAATATTTCTGAGGAGTGACAGTGTCTCAAGTAATAAAAATACCTCTACCTATGGAAAGTCAATATTCTGGAAATGGCCTTGTTTTCTGCAGGAAAAATAATTTGAGAATGATAATTTGGATGTCCTGGCAAATTGTATGGCAGGAAGGAGGTGTCAGCCTCATTTTTCCTTCAGGGTGAAGTGAGCATGGCAAGGTGCAGGCATATGAGGTGAGTTTCTGAATGCTCCTCTTCTGCTTTGTAGGAGGGATTTCCTGCCTGTGAAGAGTTCCTGTATAAGAGCCTTCCTCTCTGGGATGGCTCCTGCTGCCGACCAGAAGTCCTCCAACTTGTGAGTTGGATCCCCCTCAGCAGTTCCCCTGGTATGTGTTGGATCCTTTGGGTGAGGTTGGACACCGGGGATATCCTGGGGGATAGAATTTGTTCACCCCTATCATACTGCTTTCTCATTTGTTTCAGAAATTAAGTCATATCTCTATGGTCCCCTGGCACAGCTCTTTTTCACATCATCCCTTTACTTCAAGGTAATTCGAGTGAATACAATGCCTGTTTACTTCTAGTTGATACTGCTCTCTGCACTTGGGTTGAGTGTAGCAGACTAAGGGATTGTATAGGAAAGTTCTTTTGGGGAAGTCTGTGCCCAAGTGAGGGTAAAATATATACTTACAGCTTAACTTCTTTAGGAGTATGAGTGCCTTAAAGATATCTTCTTTTTTGACTGGGACATTGGAAATAAAAAGAACTGGCAGTACACAAGATAATTATTTCTTTTATTGTGACTTTAACTTGGTATTTGAAACTTGCACTGTAACACATTCGTTCAGTTCTAGGGGATGTGCAATTATCTCACTGCTCCTGTTGGTCCTGAGAAACTCTTGATACCTTTCCTTGTATATGTCAGTTCTCATGGTGTTTTTTGTTTAGTACTACTTGCTTTCATAAATTGCTATCAGCCTGATTTCTTTTTGCCTCTTGCAGTGCAGTGTTCTTGAGAGCCTGAAGGAGCTGCTGGAGAACTGGTTAAATTGCAATGTGATTGATATGGATCCAGAATTTCATCCTTTGTAAGTTTATCATAAAAAAATGCAAGCCATGTTGTTTGCATTGCTCACCAGTGCACTTAGATATATATTCTAGCTCTATCACCCAGCGTGAAGACCAGCTAGAAGGTTAATAACACTGTTATGATTCTGCTCTATTGTAAGCTACCTTGTCAGTCTTGTTCTTTGTCTTTAAAAGTACTTCTGTTGACACTGAAAGTTGAAATGCCCAGAACTCAAAATCCTCCTGAGGCTGAGGCTGGGTCATGTTTGTGATGGTGTTGATAACAATGTTACTGGCTGTATTGAAGAACAAGTGTCTGTTGCTGAGTGTTGGGTGGGGCAAAAGCACGAACTTCAGTTTCTTTTCACTGCTTTTCCGCGTTGCCCTTTGCGAAGAGGTGAAGTACTAATGTTGTGTTGTGTCATTGCTGCAGGAATACCACCCTTTCTGGACTAGTGACCGTGGTGGCTGACCTGATCCACTTTGTTGGACGGCTCTCTATTGTTGGACTGCATTTGGAAAAGAATTCCACGTTCTTGCTCTTCTTCATCCTGGATTTCTACGAGACCGTGTGTATCCCAATCATTTTGGCTTTCTTTTGAAATTCTCCAAGACTTTGTATTTTTTTAAGCTAGAGCATAAAAACATCTTCCTCATTATGGTTTACAGAACTTTGTGGTTAAAAGCAAGAATAGTCCAAATAACCTTTACTTTGGCAGTAACAATCAGCCCAGATGTGCTTCATTCCTGCAGGTGTGTGACATGTACCTGAAGTACGACCTGCCTTTGTTGATATTGCCTCCTGCTGGGGTTTTCTACCCAGCACTGCTCAGCATGGATTCTGTCACCTTGAATCAGCTCTGCTACATTATGTACAGGTACTACAGCAAGTGTGGGCTGCAGGGTCTCCTTGTCTTCTCTTTCAATCTTCTGGAAATGAAATTATTTTAGTGTAAAACCTGAAATCTACTTTTTCTTACGATGCAAGGCAAAGTTCCGCTCGTGCCCAGCTTTCATGATTCAGGATTTTATAGCTGTGGTTACTTCTTTCTTTTTTTCCAGTCTGTTGCCCAAAATAGCAGGATTCTGACCTCTTTCCCAGAATTATTTCTGTATCTTTGATATGTGGAGAGGAAGAAATTCTCATATTGTTTTGAGAGAACTTAAGCCAGCCAGCTGGAATCACAAGTAGTAACTACAACTACTTACTCCTGTGCTTTGACCACTAAACTTGAGCTTTTCCTTACAAATTCTGTCATGTGCTGAGTAGGAAGCACTTCTGCCACCTCCAGACTCTGTGGCAATTTGGGACTGTCCTGTGCTGCTGGCAAGTCCAAAGACAGCACTGCTTAGTGCTCTGCAGGATCCACCAAGGCTGTGGTTCGTGGCCTTGTTACTTCCAGTGGCTGCATCTGAGGAGAAGAGTAGCCAGTAGCTGACAGCTGGTGCAGGGCTTTCCATGTGGCTTTTTCTCTAAGGAATCTGCAGGGTAATTAACATGACAGGATGGTCTTGAGGAAATAAGAGGAGCTAGTGCTTATTATATAGAACAACTGTCAAGTTGCATTACTTCTGGTGGCTTCTGTTTCTTTGCTTAGTGAATGAAAGTCTGCCTTCTTAAAAACACACTGAGTTTTTCCTGCTGATTTTAAGGCTGAATGTCCATTCTTGCATGTTGCCTTTATGAAGGTGACTGTCCCAGAGAAACCAGTCATGTCTGAATCATTTAAGAGATTAATATCACCAGATGTGTCCCTACTCTACCTAGAAAGAGTGGGCCTATGCCAACTGAATAAGTCCCTTTGAATTCTTTTTCATGTCTCTCTTTTTTACCAATAAAGTTTGATCTCTCTCGTGGCAGGAGTAAGTTTTCTTAATGCATTCCTCCAGCTTTTTTGAATAGAGGCATGTAAAAATTTACAGACCCCCAACTTTCTTTTATGTTTGTTTTGGGTTTTTTTATTATTTTTTTTTTAGGTATCGAACAAACTTGGTGGCTGCAAAAGAAAATGAGGAGAGTGAAAAGGTATGGTGGACACATCTGTTGTGTGCTAGAACAGACCTTAGCAAGGAATTGGGTTGAATGGAGGGAAGGTGTATTAGTGGCATTCTTTTAAGGACTGAGGGAACACACAGCTGCTTTGAGGATGCTGTTGACTGATTTGTTTTCTCCCTCAGAAAATACTGCAGTTCCAGTTCAGTAACAAGACATACAAAGAGTACAACCAGTACATAACAGCTATGGTGGGCTGCCTGTGGACATCCACTGTATTCCAGAAGGATACTAATTCTCAGGGTCTTCGTATGGATGAGGAGCTGCTGAACAAAACTCTAGTGAAGGATTTTAAAACCAGCTTTAACCTTGTCTACCACCCAGCCATGTTGGGCTATTCCATCGACTTCCTGAAGCAGGTAATTGTATAGGCTGATATTTGGGCCTTTGAAGGCACCAAATGTTCTGTCTTGACAGCTTCTCTAGAGCAGTGTCTCTTGGTGTCCTGGCTGACTTGTGGAGCCAACTGAGCTTTCAAAAGCTGCTGTGGCATTCTGTGTTTGTGTCAGATCAGTGGCACAGTCTGAATAGTCTGTGTGGTATGAAAACATGAATGTAACAGTTTTGGATGTGAATTTGTGCTTAGGATCATTTTGAAAGCAGAACTAAAATAGCTAATCAGTGAAATAAATGACAATTCAGTAAAAGCTTCCCAGTAGTGCATCCTGCCCCACAAAATAGGGAGCCTGACCTAAGTATTTAAACTGCAGGAAGTCAAGAAATACATAGTTAAGTTGCATCCAGCTGTTCATGATTGAACTTTTTAGCAGTGCATTCTGGCTCTTGTGGTAGCTTTTAAGAATGGCTTATTAAAACAAAAATGCAAGTAGCTACTTCAAGTAACATGATAATCTTGTATTGTCTGGTGTGATTTCTACCAGCAGTTGTCTCGAATTGAGGGTGTCATCGTGTGTTCAGTGCAGCTACTGAAGAGTGGGGGGAGCAGCTTGCCAGAGCTGTTGTTCTGAGATGTACGCCCTGCTCCAAAAAATCAGGTTTTGTAGGCTGTCCAGGGATGCATAAAGGTGCCATTTTGCTGTGAGAAACCCTGGCAGGCTCAAGGCCTGCGTAGGTGTGACTCCTGGAATGAAGCAAATGACATCTGAGGGTAGAGTTGAAGCAAAGAATGCTGGTTAGGAGCACTGCACAGTGCTCAGTGTCCTGAATTGGGCTAGTTTGTCTCTTACTGCTGATTAAACCCAAGCTTTGCCTCTGCCAGAGAAGGCTATTTTATTTTTCTTATACACAACTTCTTTTCCTTGGTCTTTCTCATATCCTTTGCCCACATAATTTTTGTTCTGAGGCTTCCTAGAATCACAGAATATCCTGTGTTGGAAGGGACCCACAGGGATCATCGAGTCCCACTCCTGGCCCTCCACAGCACAGCCCCAAGAATCCCACCATGTGCCTGAGAGTGTTTTCCAAATGCTCCTTGGCAGCCTTGGGGCCGTGCCCACTGCCCTGGGGAACTGTTCCAGTGCCCAGCCACCCTCTGGGGGAAGAACCTTTTCCTGAGATCCAACCTAAACCTGCCCTGACACAGCTTCCTGATTCTTTTTTGGAGGCTTTGCACACTAAAAAAACAAACCCACAAACAACCATAAAGCAAAACAAAAAACCCCAAACAAAACACTCCAAACTAAAATCCCCTAAAAAAAAAACCCCAAACACCAGCCTCCAACCCCCAAAACCTTCTGGTGGAGAAACTTTGCATTTTTCCTACTGCAAAACTAAGAAATATTTTGCCTAGCAGTGGTCACAAATGTGTTTTAAGGCAGGAGAAAATATTATTTAGGGGCAGGGTCACATTTTCCTCAGCACTGTGGTGCTGAGCACCAGAGGGCACTGCTCTGCAGCACACTTGGGGAACACAAGCAGTAGTCTGAGTGTCACTAGGTTCTCTTCTCTTGCTCTTTCTCACTGCTGGGAATTACCTTTTTAATGTTTTGAAGGGGAAGCTTTTACACTGGTGAGAGACAGTGGTTAAGGATACCTACAAATATTCCCTGTTGCTGTCCAGTAGTGCTGCAGCACAGGGCAGGAGGGTCTAGATGTTACCTTGCCACTTAGGGACACAGTATGATGCTGGAAGGCCCTTCTGAAGCATGATTAAAAATCTCTGAACTCCTTTGCACACCTAAGCAGAGACCCAGCAACGCTGGACATGCTTTTTATGTGACCTGATATTATTTTATTCCTTCTCCTCAAGATTTGTCCGGAGGATACCACCTTCAACTTCAAATTAATCAAGGTAAGATTTCTTGTTTTAGTGAAGTGAAAGCAAGCAATTTCCAGCAGGTATGTAGAAGAGGATGAGGTGATAATATTCACCAATTCCACAAATGCTCCATAAAAATTTTGAAATGGAAAAATTCCAGCTGTAGGCTTTGATTCAGTCTCTTAACAGGGCCAAACAAGAGGGCATCAACACCTGGGAAGTTATGTATCTGCCCATCTGTGGCTAGTGGGCTGAGATTTTCTGTTTCCTCCATGACTCAGTGCAGTATCAGCACAAAGCTGTTTATTGTTCTCTGCAGGCTCCAAAAAAAGTTGCATTCTTGGTGTACTTGGAGCAGAATTTCTATTATCAGTGAACTTAATTTTAAATTTCTGAGAGGTATGTAGCTTTGTTACATCTTTGAGCAGGAATCCTCTACTGAGCAATACAGTGGCAGTTGGTTTCCTTTCTTGTGTCACAGGGTACTTCAAACCTGATCTGGAGGAATCACCACTAGTGATGGAAGGAATGCTTTAATATCCATATTCATTTAGTTTCTGACATCTTCCCCTGTTGATCCAACAGACTCTGCTCTTTTCAGAACTGGGATTTGTAAACATTTTCAATAGTAAAAAAAAAAATCACGATTTGTCACGTTCAAGCTAAGAATGTGTGTTGTGTAAGTTTGGGCATTTGGGAACAGAAGGTACCCACAGCTGAACAGGGGCATTTACAGATGTTGTCAAACAACAGGTGGATGTTGTCAAACAACAGGTGGATGTTGTCAAACCGTGGAAGGCAATGTTTGCAGAGCTTTTCAAACTGGTCTAAGAAAGAGACAAAGCTTTGTCCTGCACATCTGACTATCCTTTCTGGTTTTGTAGGGGAAGAGGTGGGACTGGTATCTGAAATATCTCTACACACAAGGTTTGGAGGGCCTGAAGGTCTTCATTGAGAGCAGCATCAATCGTGTTTCCCAGGCCTCTCGCAGAAAAGTGGAGAATGTGGAAACGTGACCTTGGGACTCACTGGAGCTTTTCTGTCCTCTGGAGCAGATTAGCAGAATCTAAAGGACTCTGCCACTGGTTACTTCCTGAGGGGAAAGAAACAGAGCAATTACTCTTGTAGTGACATTTATTTTGTGAAAGTGAAGACACAGAAGGAATGCTTAGGCTGCCTCTTGTCCCTGCTGAACTCCGGTGTGAAGTTGGTGAGCTGTATGTTATGTCCCATTCATATTTATCATCCTGGTTTCTCTCTGTTGGAGTATCTCCTTGAGAATCAGACATTTTCCACCTCAAAACTGCAGTGAGCAGTGCTGCTTCATTTATAATTAATGTTGATCTCTGACCTGATTTGCCTTCCTCAGAATCAGGTAACTCAATCAGCCTTTAGTGATACCGTCTATGTGTTGGATTGGAGCAACGTGTGTTTCCCAATTCCCTGTTGTACTGTCTTCTAGCAGGCTGAGCAAACTGACCTTCCTGAAATTCATTTTCATTTTAAAGCTTCCAGAATGGACTTTTTGCCAACATTGCTTATAATGATGTTCTAATGCAGCTGGAAAATTCAGTGCCCAGTTGATGGTTTATTGATGGTTTGAGGACTTGTACAATATTGCCACCAGTTCACCATTTTTTATTGGTAAGTGCAAATGTGGCTTTCCTTTTTGTGTTTTTAACTCTGTAGGTGTTGTGTATTATACATGTACGTGTATATATATAATTTATAATATGTCAAATGTTTCCAACGTGCCATTTTAAATAAACTCTACTACAAAAAAGTATCATCTCCTGTCATTTCATTTTAACACTGAGTAGTGGTTGGGAGAAGCTGTACTGAGGTTTCCAGAATTAGAGTGAATGTTATTTTACTGTGGTAAAACAAGGTTGTAACCACTTGAAAGTTGGGTCAGAGTATACTGAATTTTTCATTGTGAATTTGTAGTAAAGGAATCAGTCCTGAGAGTGACCCCAGAGCCACTAAAGATGTGTTTGGTTCCTTCATCCTCTCAAACTCAGACTGTGGTAGAGTACCACAGTTCTCAGCTCAAACTGATGGTCTGTTAATATGCCCTTTCTCATCCATCTGTGTTATTCCAGATAGTGTAAGTGCTGCCTGCTAATTTTTGTCAAGAGAAACAGATCTTCAATATCCTGATTATATTTTCTCAACAGAGGACGCTTCACATATTACAAATTCCTCCAAGTGGATATGTTTCAAGACGTGGCCCTAGCATATAATGAGTTTTATAATTTTTCTGTGAAGCTGCCTTCAGAAAGGTGTTGGAAAGACTATTTCCAGTTATGCTGGAAAGCCTGTGCACTGCATTCCCCAAGGACAGCTTAATCCTTAGCTTTTGTCCTTAAGATACTGCCCAGACTCGTACTTCCACACTGTTGCACTGGGATTCTCTATAGGAATAAGGCTGGAGGGGTTGATAGCCCTGGAAAACATGAGATGAAGACATGGGTTCACTCACAGATCTGTGTATGGCAGGCTCAGTCAGGGGGGAAAGGAGCAGGTACAGAGCATCCCAAAGAAGCATTAACCAGGAAGACAAGGCTTCATGTTGCCTGGGTGCTGTTTGAAGTTTGTGGAAGGAGCAGAGCTCTGGCATTCCTGTCAGACTGGCAGGTGCTGCCAGAGGCTTCATTTCACTTGTGAGAGATGCTTAGATTCTTAAGAGTGTGTGTGATGTATGTAAATGTATTTAAAGGAGCTTACAGCAGAATCCTTCAGGATATACTGAGTATTAGGTAGTTGTTGGTCCCTTATCCCCCAGATAAGTTTTTCCTTGATGTTGGTGTTTGGTTGAGAAAACACAAGATCGTGTCATGGGAGACTCTTGTTGCATCACAGGTCTTTTGTTATACCCTGTGCTATGAAAGTATTTAAGCAGACTGTCCACAGTTTTGTCATTCAAGTGTGCAGGCTGGACACTTATAGCTGCAGAATTACAGTAATAGGACAGATAACTTTCCTTTAATGTCAGCTTTGTTGGTCAAGATGGCTGTTTAAAATCCTTGCCATGTGGCAATGGTGTGCCTGGTATTATTGGGCACTTGAGAGGACTTTTAGCCTCTCTGTGTGCTGTGGCAGCTCTTGTTATTTTTGACATTTGGACATTTTTCTTATAAATATCTAACTTCACTATCATTGCACTTGAATGGAAGAATGGCCTTTTTAGGGAGGAATGATGCTACTATACCTTTTCTATTTTCTGGTGGTTTGTTTTGGGTTTTTGTTTGTTTGGTTGGTTGGTTGGTTTGTTTTGTGATTTTTTTGTTGGTTTGGTTTGGTCTTTGTTTCCTGCTTGCTCTTTGCATTCTAATCATCATGGTAAATCTTATAAACCATTTCCTATCATAAGCATGTGCTCAAGGACTTGGTTGACCACAGCATCTGCTCAGAGCACAAAACTGGAGATGGTCAAGACCCATCCATTTCCTGGTAAGTGACAAATGAGTGACTCACCTCCAGTGCCTGTTTCTGCCCGTTGTAAGGTGCCAGTGGATGTAGGCACTGAAGCTGGAGCAGAATTGTGTTGTGATACTATTTGACAGAAACAATGCAGGCTGAAAAGTTCCTTTAAGGCTCACATTCATGTTGTCAACCAGCACCCCACAGAATATTGAGGTTTAGGTTAGGCCTGCAAGCTCCCTCTGAAGGAGTGATATTCCACACAATTCACTAGAAGGAAAGTGTATTATTTCATATGACTTGAGTCTGCTCTTGAGTGCTTGTTTTTCTTTCTAGAGGATGATGTTTCGAGATCCAAATTGCTGTTGGCTGGGAATGCTGGTTTGTGTCCTGTCTCCCCATGAGAAAAAGTTGAGAAGCTCCAATTTCTGTCTGTTCTTCCTTATCAGGAGGCTTCTACAGGCTTTTGGTGTAGAAGTTTTGTAATATTACAAGCAGGCCATGGCAGTGGTGGTTTCAGTTTAACCACATCCTGTAGCATTACTAGTAGCCTGTTCAGATGCTTTCAAAAAGCAAGGCCTTTCCCTTTGGAAAAATCTGAGTGAAATTAGGGTATTAGATAGGATTTCAAGGTACAGGACCAGAATCCTGTCTGGGCTAAGCAGGCCCAGCTCCACTAATTTCTAATGGATCTCTGTCGAGTTGCACCAGCTGAACATCTGGTCCCCAGTTCACACAAAGAGAGCCATTAACCCCTCCCTGTCAGACACATTGGCCTGAACATTATGCATCTGAAAATACAAATGCCTTGGGCTACAGTTAATCTGAATTCTTTTTTTTTTTTGAAGCCATGTTTGTTTTGGGTTTCTGTTAGCCATTATTTTGTTTTGGGATGAGAGACTCATTTGTGCATCTTAGGGCAACAGAGTCTGATGCATTTCGGAGAGAGCTTGCTCTGAAAGAGTTAATAATTTCAACCTGTTTTCAGCTGGAATGAAGAAACTGGTTCCTCTGTATCCCTGCTTTCTATTCTTTTGTTGGCCTACTTCCCTCTGCTTGCATTTTGCATTCCTAATGCCATGAATAAATCAGGACCCAAGGATTTAGAAGGTGGTACAGCTGTAACCACTCAGAAAATTGAATCTATGAGGCTGGTACCGCAGCTCTAACAACCCCCAATATATGTGCTCCTGAACTCTTCTAATAACATTTAGCTGGTACCAAAATAAAATTCACTTTTGCCTTTTTTATGTAATGTTTAAGATTTTTGTGCCTCTCCCCAGTGTCTCCTCACTTGGTTCCCTTTGTCTTTTAGTCAAAGCTCAGTTATAAGCCCTTCAGGGCAGGATAATCTCCCCCTGGCTGCTGTGACAAAATGGCTTATCACAACTCTTTGCACACAGGAGACAAGAATAAGGGAAACTGAGGTCTCTGACCTGGCAAAGAATTCATTTTCTCTACAGAGTCACAGCACAGTGAAACTCCTGTCTGCCTGTTGTCCTAGATCCTCTGATAACTTGTCATTAATAATACACACTGGACTGATTTTATTTGTAGCTCTGTGGCTCCTGAGAGTGCGTGAGGGAGCTCTTCATGTGCTTTTTAGTCAGAGGATGCATCCAGTCTGGGTGGAAAACAGCAGATATTAGTAACAAGCTTGCTCTGGAAGAGGAATATCTTAAAAGAACAAAGTCCTCAAGTATTTTCTTCTAGGAAAGATGATTTGTGTTGTACTGATGGATTTCCCTCACGGCTGTGCTTTTTAAAAGAAAAGGAATTATTATGGTCTGATGGAGGTTTGATTTCACCAAACCTTGTTTTTGACTGAGAATGCCTTTTATGTCTTTCTTAGCATTTGGTGACGTGGTTTTCAGCACTGGTTTCCTGAGAACTTTATCTATCTGTTAGACCTGTCCAAGTAACTCCCAAGTAATTATAGTTGGCAAGGGAGGTGTTGAATTACATATATAATGTTTGGTAAGGTGTGTATCTTGTGAGGATGCCTCTCTGCCTCTCAGTTTCCTGTCTTGTAGGAGTAAAAAGTCTGCATAACAGAGGGTAAGATTTTTTTAAAAGTGCCATAATCTCCATTTTCAGACTCGCTACAGTCTTGCACAAATGTGGAAACTGAAACAGTTGATTTTCCAAAAAAAAAAAAAAAAAAAAAAAAAAAAGCTGCAGGTGGTTACACAGACTCTAAATACTGTTTTAACCTTGACAGCATTTAGAAATCTGTAGGCTCAGACACGATCCCTTTCTGCAGCTTAATGAGTGAACACGCACCAGGCAAGCTGTGGTACCTGCCAGAAATGTGACACAGAATGGGCTGTTCCAGTCCAGGCTGGAGGTGATGAGATATTTCAGTCACTAACGTGGCTGAGCTCCTGAGCTTCAGGCACTGGGTTTAGGCTGCTGGGTTTAGGCCTCAGATACTTGGAAAAATTTTATTCTCTGCCTGAATCACTTGGGCTCTTCCTTTAAAGAATTCAGGGATAAGCTTCTTGTGTATAGGTATAATTTTATATGCAGCTGTATCCCCGTGCAGTTTGACTTGCTCTCCTCCAGTGTCTGTGCTGCCTGTGAGTCTTGTGTGTGATCTCTGCAGGAGGAGGCTGCTCTCTGCAGGTTTTCTCCCAGCCCTCTCTCTGGAGTCTCCAGGCCTTCATGGTCTGTTGTACACGGATCACTAAGCAGTTTCCTTTCTCTAAGGGCACCTCTGTTCTCTGTCGAAGTGAATCTTCAGCAGCTCCTGTGTGATTTGCTTTCTGCTCCTTTGTGTGCACAGCCCAGTAAATAAGGAAGGGGATGGAAAGCACATTGTAAATGTGGTGACAGCTCTTGAAGAACGAAATGGTCCCTGAAAGCTGCCTGTCTGACTTAACCCTTCTCCTGCATAGTTTTGCTTTCTTTTCTACCATTTTCTCCTTCTTCTTTTCTTTCTCCATCTCTCCCCCAAATTCTTTAACACTCTTTTCGCACCCACTCCTTCCTTTTTGGTGCTTGCTGCTCTAAAAGAGTTCCTCTCTCCCCTATGGCCCCCATTTCTCATTCAGGAGGAACTGTTTCAATGCCTGTGCAGGAGCAAATGAAAAGGGGGATTAATTCTGTTCCTGAGTGCGTGTCAGCTGTCTGCTTGTATCACTTCTCTGCCCATTCTTCTCTCTAACCCCAGGTACCATGCATTTAGAAAGCATACTGCTGTTTTTCTAAATGCTTTCAGCAGGGTAGAATCTGTTCTGGGAAGATTTTAGTGCTTATTGATGCCAGCAAAGGAGGGGCAGTTTTTTATTTGACATCAGTTGTTTAAACAAACAAACAAAAGGAACAATATCCAGTCAACTATTCTTAAGTTCTTCTC